CTGCTGTGACGGAAACGCCTCGAAAGCCTCGAAGAAGCCGTTCTCTCTCCTCCCACGGTCCCACGGGTCCTCTGGTCGACAAGACGCCGTTCTTTCCCCTCACACGGGTCCTCTGGCCTCGAAGAAAAGGCGGTGTCGCCAGGACTCGGATATACCTCCTCTGGCACGGCTTTCCTGCTGTCTCAGCGGGGTCGGCGGATATGGTGCTACTGTTGATATTTGTTGCTTGGTTGGTGGTCGAGTTGGGTCCGAGTCCACTTCGAAGTGTTCAGCCAGGCCAGGGGTCACAAAGGGGTTATTTTGTGTCTCTAAGTGCGTGGATAATGGGCACCCCTATCGTTGGAACTCCTGGAGGAAGTTCCCTTCCATTTCCCGGTCCCCCTTCGTCAGACCTGTCCCGTCTCCTGGTCCTTACGACGATACCGAAGATGGTGTCGTTTTTTGAGCGTTGTGTTCTGTCAGCCACACTCCGCTCACTTGCTGGCCACAGATCCTCTGGGTGAGGTCAAATCCTCAAGGCCTTCAGTTGTTTTGATCATCCAAAAAGGGAAGTCCTTGAAGTCCCTGCAGCTTGTTTCTTTCCGGGTGTCCAAAACGTACCTCTCCGTGGTTTCCTTTCGGCTTCCACGGTCGTTCGACCGACCGTTCGGTGGTGACGCCGGAAAGTCAGCTGAGTCACAGGAAACGGCGCAGCGCGGTTCGCACGGCGTTTCTTTTTGTAAATCCCACAAAAGGAACGGGAAGTGTGGCGGATCTTGAGACGTTGAAGGTGAAACGGTGGCAAGTTCGATTTGATGGAGGTGCTTATAGCGGCTTTGCGTTGATTTTTTTTCAGTTGGACTGACATGATTGCCATCATCGTGGACACGTGCGAGTCTCCCGCGCCCAACCGAAAACCATCGCTGAAAACACGCAAACTCGCCTCATTGGAAACCTCACCTGGGAGTCAGTACCCAACCAGCACCAGTACCCTCCAACAGGTCACCACCTGTTGGAGGGTGCACCACCTGTTGGAGGGTGCTGGGAGATATGACGCAATGCGACAGGTCCCTACGGTTCCTTCTTCTCACCGCATTCGTTCGGGTGGAACCCGCTGCTTCCGTCTCACTTTCGCTGAGGTCGCAGCGCGCGGGGGCACTTAGGTTCTGGTGGCGATCCGTGTGCGAAACTGGAAAGGTCGGAGCCGAAAATGGGGGGATTGTTTGAAAATGTTTGCCATGTTGATTTATAGAAGTGGTCATAAAGCAGAGGAAAGGCTTGAACAGGGGGATTTATTTGAGGATAAAACCATTTGGGGAATGGAGGATGTCATTCCGGGAGTTCCATTCAGAAGTGTTTCTGCCAGGACCCTCCGCTTGAGGTGTCAATTTACGCCTCGTAAAGAGGTGAGGAACCGGGGGTGTCCGAAAAGCACCGGGCGGATGGGAAGGTACAACATGTTATCCATGTTCATGCAAGCACCTCATGATCATCTAGGACTCCAACGGTGATCTGTCCCTCCCAGAAATGGGGTGTTCCTCTCAAAAACAGCGCCAGGGCGGTTGAAATATACTCAAGAGTCTACGTTAAACAAAGATGTTTCAATCACACAAGAGACCGAAAGCGTGGCGACCTGGAGTTCCAAAGGGGTTTACAAACACATCTCCAGCCCATTCTTCAGCTAGGCACCCTTTGGAGCAACAGAGGTTTGATTGCAGTTTGGAACAGGTGCAAATCTCCAAGGCACATTGCTCCCGTGCAGAGTGAGGACCGCATGACTCACCCCAAAACCACGTCAAGTTGGTATGCGGAACATGGTCGGTTAAAAAAAAAACGGTCGATCATCTCAGGGTCCATGAGATCGTCGGACCGGGGGGTGGACAGATTCGCTCCTGGCTCTCCGGCGCTGAAGGGAGCGTCCAGAGATCCTTAGCATGTGAGTAGCTTTCATGACGTGGCAAGTCGAGCTCAACTCGACTTGCCAGATGCAAAAAAAAACAAAGGTGGTTCGCTTGTGAGGACCAAGCAGTCCTGTGGTAGATCTTAGTTTAGAGATCCTGATAATTCCATTAAAAAAATCCCTTTTTGTCGTACTCCGTACTCCCAGAGCAACTAGATGTTTCATAGAAACGCGGACCTTCTGAGCGTTAAAGCACAAAAAATGAAGTTGGATTGGAAAGACTACTCCTTGAGCGCGGTGCCACTTGCTCATCGAACCTTCTGCTTAAGCTTAGTTGAGTAGGCGTGGTCTTTTGGGCGTTCACAATGCATGGGTTTTGATGTTCCGATTGAATGGCCATTTGGGATTGGCTATATAATGGTATCTGCTTCCATTGCTCTATAGATGTGTTGCACCTGTCGTCTGCTCTCGGAAACGTCGGAACGTCGCTTGTCTCGGGTTGTTCAGCCTCGGTGCAGCCAACACCGGACACCATTGGTGATGATGTTGGGTGTTCCAAGGCTTCATTTCATGTGACCGTTTCACCAGGATCGTTTCACCGTGTCCCGCTCATCCGGTGGTCTTTGGAACCTCACCCTCAGACACCAGGCGATGCAAATAGACACCTCAAACAAGGGCGAGGGCGCTGGTAGAAGTCCAGAGACTTGATCACCAAGGAGGTTCTGACTGGGGGACCTGATTTCGGACACGTCCTGTACTTCGCTAAGGAGAACTTCTAGGCCTCCGGGTACAGTGAAGATTCCGGTTTAATTTCCATGTCCTGGCGTGAAAGACGTTATCCAACCCTGACGGTGCCTACGGAACAAACCACTTCTGTCTGGACAAAAACAGGGCGCCATGTTGAATGGTCTGAATCCCAACGAACCATGCTTGTGCCAAGGATTTTAGACTAGAGAAGCAGGTCGCTGCCACCGGTCGCTGCCAACGGCTCCAGCCGATCCACCGCGTCCCTTTCGCGTCCCGCGGCCACCGGCGGCCACCGACCGCACCGACTGTCAGCGACATGTTGTCCGCGAGGCGTCGCTCGGCGTGAGGCGGGCGTCGGGCTCCCCATGCCAGGTCTGTCGTGGCCCAGGTCTCTTTTATTCAAATAGCCTGAAGGAATATGCCGAAGAACCGGCTGGTTTTCGGTGAAGTTTAGGGTTTTACACGACAAACCCATCAACCAGCACCACGGAAAGGAGTCAGGGGGTGGTTCTTGGCTGGAACATATATACATGAGAGATAAATTTTGGGGTGTCCACCGCCGAACCCTCCGAAGCCTCCGAACCTCCGTGGTCCTGGAAACCTCGTTCAAGGGACGAGAGTGGTCAAGGGACCGTTCGGGACTCGGATGGGTCAGAGAAGTCGGAGGGAGAAGAGAACTGGGGGGGTTGGAGGTGGGTCACTGGAGGTGGGATGGGAAGGAAGGAAGGCAGGGTGCGAGTGCCCCGGCTGCCGCAAGTCGTTCGTCATTCTCACAAAGGAAGGCAGTTGGAAGGGCATCTTTCATGCTACCCCGCGAAAGCTGGACCCTCCTAACTATAGGTCCGGGACCCTGAACATCTTGTAGGTTTTGAGGGATCAACTCCTGCCTGCTGAAAAAGCTTTGGGGGTATCTTTGTTGTTGTTTTGGTGCGTTTGAATGTGTGTGTGTGTTTGGGTACCCAAACCACCGATGTGCCATCAAGTCTTCGGCCGGCTCCGACATGCCTTTGCTGCAGGATGAATCAACATGTGAGGTGTGTATGTTTGTCTTCGTGCTTCACTACGCACTAAACTCCTCAAGTTCATGCATTCAAGAATCTTCTGGGATTCTGGGATGCTCATTCTGCATGGTGGTGACCAAAAGACATGTGAAAGAGGCTGAACGTTTGAGGGCCTTTCTTGGACATTGATTGGCGTGATCTACCCCACTGATCTCGCAGACAGAGCTCCGTTCGCTTCACTCACCAAACCGAAGGACAAGTGTTTCGTTTGTGGGTCGGGCCAGTGGTGGCCTGGTCCGATGGTGTCAACACTGCGGCGGCCACGGGTTGGGCGGCCACGGCCGACTAAGGCGCGTTGACCGGTTGTTTCGATGGTGTCCTGGATATGTTCCAAGATGTCTCCAGCTCTTTGGGCTGGGCTGAAAAGATGCTCGGCCAGGGCGTTTGAGCGTTCGGAAGGAGATCGAGAGAGCGAGCATGACACAAAAATCAATGGTGTCCTGACCATTGATTTGACAAGGGTGTTTCACTTTTCACCGGAACAACCATTGTGTTTACACCACTAAAACCAGGTCAGCCGTCTTTGAAGGCGATGGTTTTATTGTCAAAGGGACCCTGCGCATCACACGGTCAACCTTGCGCTCCAACTCCTCGTACATAAAATTGGTTGAAGTGATGATCATGGAATTCTCTTGCAAAAGGTGGATCAGGAAGCTCCTTGGGACCTTGAAATCCCGTGAAAGACTTACACTTGGGCACCACCCAAGTGTCGAAATTCCTGGAACTCGCGTCATGTAGTCAGAGCATTATTGGAATTGCAGGGGCAATTTGAGATAGTGATAAAACAAAAGGGTGAGAAGAAGTTCCAGGAGATTTCAGCTACTGAACTCACAGGCCTCGCTTTCAGCGCCTGGAAGACATCCCCAAAGGGCTCGGCGCTTTCTTCGAGGGGACTCGTTTTCCTTGAGGTCCGGGTTTCATGGTGAATAACCCTTTAGCCGCTTTAGCCTTCCCCTGCCTTCCAAGACGATGTTCAAAACGGACCTGGTTTGGTTTGTAGACCTGGTTTTCGTATTGTAAAAATCGGAACAGCGATGGTTCTTCGGGATTCCGGCTATATCACATCCAGGGCAGCGCCGGGCCGCGCCGGAAGCCCCTTTCTTCGCCGCGTCGTCAGGATGAACGGCGCGATGGTTCCGGTCTCGGCCGCGGAGCACGTGAAGATGACGCTGAAGTCGGGAAAGGTCCCTGAGGAGCGGGTCGCTCTCTGGCGCACGGGAGAAACCTCGCGGTTCTTCGCGGTTCCCCGGGCGGAAGGGGGGGGGGGGGGGGTTGGATAGTGCATCAGACTGGGTGCGCATATGGGCGCACTGCGACCGGAGGAGGTGGTGAGGTGGGTGGTTCATGCTTTGGACCGTGCCTTTTGAGGCACGGAGGAGCAACTCTGAAGTCATCTGAAGCCCTTTTCTTGGTGACCAGCTTGCTCCCGTCCGTAGGGAGCTGATAGAGCTGACCATCGGGGCAATCACTCACAGCTGTGAGGCTGTGATGTCGAGGGCGACTTGTTTGTTTTTGTTGCTTGGCTCTGGCTCTAGGCTTCTTGGCTTTTTTGGCTTCTTCACTTTGATGGAGGGACGCCGTTGGACCGTGTGCAAGATCGAGACCTGACCATGTCGGAACAAAAGAAACACATGTGGCATCACGGGAAGGATGACTCTGTATGATGCCCACAAAGAACACCTCAGTCCCAATCCAGGAGAAGTCTCTTGTTTCTCCACCCATCCGCGCCCCGTCCTTCCCCTCTCCAGGATTTGAGCGGCGTCTACCTGCGGGTGGGGCCCAATGCCCAACACTGGCCACCCAAGAAGCGCACACACGCCTTCGATGGAGTCGCTCGGCTGCAAGGCGTGCAAAGACGGGCAGATGTGATGGAGGAGGGGAGGGGCACACTGGGCGGAGTGTCGAAGTACATGACTCCTTCCCGGTTGAGTTCATTGATATGGGGAGATATGGAGTGATGGATATCGTAGTGGAGATTTGGCAGAAGGGGATAGGAGGAGGTTTCCATCACCTGGTGTTGCTTAGGGTGATTTCTATGTTCCCTATGTCCCCTGACATGGGGAAGAGTTCCTGTGTCTTTTTTCGCAGCTCCTGGAGCAGAAGTCGAGCCCATTATGTGTAGTGCTGGGCATACGATGCTGGAGGTGTTGTGGTTTTTCTTTGGCCCACCGCAAAAAAGGAATCAGCCAAATGCGAAAGAATATTTCCCAGCATAGAATGTGTCCCCCGTAGACCCGGCTGACGATGTATGCTCCATCCAATCACCGTCCAATTTCTGGGTGTCAATGAATGCCGCTTGGTCCGCTTGGTTTGGTGTTCAAAGCAAGGTCCCAGCTGCCCTGGAAGCAGCCTTGGGGGTTCTCGTAGTCCGGGGTTTGGAGGGTCTTTGGAGGTCATTCCGAATCTGTTGAACATTCGACCCGAAGTGCTTCCACCGAGGATGTCTGTGATCTTTTCCACCCCAATCCGGGTTTCATCACATGTGGAAAGGGTTGTTGCCCGAACGGGTCTGGACCCAGTCATGGACAAGGACTTTTTTGGGGTGGGGTCATGGTAACTTTCCGTTCATCTAGCCATGTGTGACATGAAAGTTCTGGAGTGCAAGCTTGGTTTATGGTGGAAAATGCAAGTTCAACTGTGTTTGATACCCAGTCAATGGATAACCTTTAAAATTTTAAGGGAATGGTGTCCCCTCTGCCAGGGACACTGAAGGAGTCAGGCTTACGCCGTCCATGTTTTTCTCAGATTGCGCAAGGGAGGTGTTCGCTGTGCAGAGGAGGTGTATCAATCGCGTGCAGTTCGTTTTGTGGAGAACTTCCAGCACCCAGGCCATGGGCCGAGTAACGAATACAAGTATCAGCAACAGTCCTTCCTATCCACACGACCGACACGACCTCTTTGGGACAGGCATACTGACCGATCAGGGGAGAGGGTCGTTGGAAAGGGGTCAAGAGTCTGTAGTGAACTATTCCAGTTTTTATTCCATCTATCGGTTCAGTTGTGACTAGACTGTGGATGGCCACTCGGATGAACACTCGTGTACACCGTCGGCTTTCGGCTCACCATGTGTGGCCCGGACCGTCCGTCGGGGCGAACGGGTGACGCGGGCGGCCGCTCGAAATCAGGACGGAATGGTTCACAGTGTGGCTTGGTGGGACGGACCGTGGGATGGCGACGTGTTTTATCTCGCATGGTCGACGTGTTGGCCCTTTTTTTCTCAGTTCCTAGTTTGAAGCCAGGTATTGCGTATATACACTCTCACAATCTCTCACAGGATCGCCTCTCAAGGCAGCACCTCTCAGAGTACTCAGAGGTACAAAAAGAAAATGCAAGGGTCCCCAAACACACAATGTCATTTCCCCACATAACTTCTAAACCCACACAGTTCCAGAAGCCTACGCATACTTTCTACTTTGACCTTCACTTGCGCAAGAAGCTGGGTTTCTCCAAACACTCTCACAGGTATGCGCTCTCACAGGTATCCACTCTCACAGGTATACACTCTCACAGGTATACACTCTCACAGGTACATGTGTGCAGGTAGCCCTGTTTAGACCAAACCCAATGAAAGGCGCGCCAATCGAGTATTCTGTGTGTGTGTGTGTCGCCTGAGGACTTATAATGACCAGAGTACCGTGTATAGATGAAACACACTCGAAACGGATGCCCTATATGCTTTGTAAGTTGTAAAAGTATATAAAGTTGAGATACGTGACCCTCTTCAAGGTATTCTGCAACCAGCGATGCTGGTAGGAAAGCTTTGACACCGCTTGCCAACGGGTATTTCGCCACGCTGTGGGCCATCATAGGCGACCTTGACTATTTGGCCAAGGCGCTTTTGTTGCCGCGGTCCACACTAGCTACTGGACCATGCGCGCTGTGTCGGTGCAAAGGGAAGGGCCCATACACTTGGATGAACTTTGCGCCCGATGCAGCGTGGAGCTCAGTTGTGTGGAGTGCAACTGGGTGGCGCAAATGGCCAGAGCGCAGCAAGTCGCCGCTCTTGGAAATGGAGGGGTTCAGTCCACATTTTGTGGCCCTGGACTACATGCACAACAAGTACTTAGGTCACGACCAGTTGTGCTATGCCTCCATCCTTGCTCTTCTGGTTCGTTTTGTCTTGCCCGGCATGCTGCCAACACTCAAGTGCTAAGGAACGAGATGCTTGAATTCTACGATAGACACGTACCGGTGCCTTCCAGGTACCGGTCTCTGAAGCTGTCCATGTTTGAACGCAAGCCTCCCCAACACACAAAACTCAAGGGGTAAAGCAGCTGAAATAAAGTGGCTGGCTGGGCCAATGCTCCACATCTGGGAACTGCACCAGAACCAGAACCTCCAAAGTCACAAACAGGTGCACGTCTACCTCAAGCTGAATATGGAGCTGGAAAACATGCTGCAAGAGTACTGGGAGGACATGACATTTGAACCGACTGTGGCCGACAAGTTTGAGCATACCATGACAACTATGTTTTTGGTGCTCACAGGTCTGGCAAAATACTTCGTGGAAGAGACACTGTTTTGTATCACGCAAAAGACACACTTCTTGCAACACACGAGCATGCTTGCCCGGTATCTTTCGCCGCGACTTACCTGGTGCTTTACTGGTGAGGACCTTCAGAAGCGAATTAGTCACCTTTGCAAGGCTTGCTTGAAAGGACAGAAGCCCAGCATGAGTGTGTTGAAGCTGATCAGCCTGCATCGTCTCGGCTTGCACTTGCAATTCACAGAGCGCGCCCTAGAAGAGTGAAAACGGTTTTGAAAGAATTATACGTCGCTTTGTTGCATTATACATGTTTAACAAAGAGCTAAACAGGATTGATTGTAGAGCTGCATGAAATATATATATATATATATCACGGAATCTATAGACAATATAAACAACTGAACATATACCTCTTGAATATGTAGTAAAAACTGAATACACCCAGATTATGCAATTTTTGCGGGCACTGCTGGACACGACAATACCTTGACTGTCAACCACCATACCTTGAGAGACCTCTACCCTTGAGTGTGAGCCATCATACCTCGAGAGACCTCTACCATGTGGGTATATGACAAACTTTTAGTCATGGCCGGGCTTCGATTTCCAGCCTTCAGCCGCGGTTTGTGTCTTGTATGTTTGTGGCCTGAGTGACACTTGTTGCTTTTGTTTTGGTTGGTTGGTCGGTTGGTTGGCTGGTTTGTTTGTTTGACTGGGTGTTTTTTAATGTTATGTTATGTTGGGTTAGGTTAGGTTATGTTAGTTGCTTAGTTTGTTTGTTTGGTTAGTTAGTTTGTTTGTTAGTTTGTTTGTTTGTTTGGTTTTGTTTGTTTGTTTGGTTAGTTAGTTAGTTAGTTTGTTTGTTTGTTTGTTTGTTGTTTTTGTTTGTGCACCTTGTTTGCTTGTTCTGGTCTCTCTTCTGCTCTGTTCTGTTCTGTTCTTTTTGGTTGGTTGTCTAATATGTTGCGTGGTCGTTTCTATGTGTTTCTGCTCTTTCTCGTCTCATTCTCCAACATCACGCGATAGCATCACCAAAAACACTGAGGCAGTTTGATGGTAGTTTTGAAAAACCCATGAGGAAGTTTGATGGCAGTTTTCCTGGAGGCGTAAGCCACAATCTGCCGAAAACGTCAAACTGGTGTCTGACTATTTTCACATATTTTGTCAAAAAATACAAAACCAAAAATAGACTTAATCTTGTTTTCTACGACAACATGTTTAAACTAATAGACAAATCGTAAGTCTGATTTTCTTGACTATTTCATAGGAATCTATCTATTTCTATAAAATAGAGATTCTCCACGTTTCTGATTTAGCTATAGGGCAGAAGAAGCTGACGGAGTTTCAGACGCCAAATTTGTACTGAGAGGTTTCGATTCTAAGAAGTGAAACAGCCAGCAAGTAGCAGCAGAGGGATTTGAAGAAGAAAGAGTGCTGCTCTCAAAACCATGTAGCAATGACGATGGTAGTGCCACATCTCTTTCTTCACAAGTTCCGAGCCTCCCAACACTCCAGTGCGCCCAAACAAGACACCACCGTTAAACGCAACCAAAACAACATCGCCGTTGATCCCATGACACAAGACAGAAAATATTGATTGTTACCTTTCCATGAAACAACATAGAAAAGAACGAGTCGAAGAACCAAAAGAACGGCAAGTGGTCTGTGGTCTGAACCCACAACAACACAATTCCCATTCGTAGACGCAGAGGCTTCACATTAGCAACGACGGTTTGAGCCCGCAACGGCAGAATGTTGCCGGCAAACGGTTTCCAAGAGTCTTGGCACGAGGTCTAGTCAGTATGACAACGTATGCCTCATCGCCCGTACCCAAACAGTCTAGAAAAAAACAAACATGAAAAACACTCATGCCGGTCCGGCCCTATACCCTCCGGAGGCTTCAGATTCCATTCGCCCGGTCCATCCGATCCAAGGTGCGCATCCGCCCGGGGGGAGACGCCAGCTACCACTGCCGTTTCATGGAGACGCCTCGACGCCCGATCATAGACGTTTGGAAGATGGAGTTGAGTTGGTCTATCCATCGAAGTGGAGATCCCTGAAATCATGGTTGGAAGTGGAGTGAAAACCACTTCTTTGGTATTCAATCTGGTCACACGCCATTAAAGTGGAGGTGTTTGGGTGTGTTTTGGTTCGTGCTCGTGGACCCTGAACCTAGCTGACATGTGTTCTCCCTGGGGTTGGAATAGTTGTTTTCCGTGATGCCTTGGCTTCACTTTTCATCTCTCAGCTCCGTTTGGCAGGGATCCTTCGACCCGAAGACGGAGACCGACCAGTCGGGTGCGGTTCGAACCAGGCGGAGAAGCCCACCCCCCTTCTCAGGACCATCGTGTTGGGTGACGCTGTTTTGAGGCCCTAACAAGTGGTTTCTGGGCAAGGGTTGTCAGCAACAAACGGATGTTGAAGGGTACTGGTATAGGGGATCTCCAACCAGGACACCCATTGGATGCTCCTGGTAGGTTTGGAGGAACCGGGACGGAAGTTCGGGCTGTGTTCAGGCGCGGAGCAGACCTGGGTGCTGAGGATACATCTTTGAGAAGGAGATGGGCTCCGAGTGGTTCTTGCGGGTGGGCGAGATGCAGGGCACTTGGACGGCATTGGAGATGTTCGGAGATGCAGGGGCACTCGGAGCTCCCGTCGTCAGGAGTTTCGTGAGGGTGTGATGAACTGGATGATCCTCAGATGAGGGCGTTTTTCACATGGTGGGCCAGGACTTCCTTCCGTTTGGACTTGGCGAGGAAACCCCTGGGGGGTCAAAGGAGTCATCATTGGAATTGTCAGGGAAAAGTGAGGATTTGGGAGATCTGTCCCTTGGCATCCAGGGCACTGCTGTATGGGATCATCACACCACGGGTGTAGAGGGCCGCATCCTTCGACCTGCCAGGTGACCAATGGCCCAACAACCCTACACCCATTCCTCGTCTGGAAGAGACGCAGGTCGAAGGATGCTGGTGAAGCTGTTCGATCTTGGAAAGGCCCAGACCGATGGCGAATCACCCAAAGAGTCACCGAAAAACCTGGTGTCAGACGAAGAGTTCTGGGTTTTTGCAGATCGGGTCATCGTTCAATGATTTGTCCCAATCGGTATATACATCATGGAAATCCCATTATGTAGTTGTCCTTTTCTTCTTTTTGCCCCTGCTTCCTGGACAGCAACTCCGCAATCCAGATGTACAGGCTTGTATCGGGATGACAAGGTGGCATTGGACCTCAGCCAGCTTCATCCTTCAGCCGGCTCCAATATCGATCTCGCCAAGCTTGTCCCCAAAACACAACTTCTCCCACGGTCATCCCAAGGGTCGTCGGTGTCGCGAATCGCACCTACTTTGCTCAAGGTTTTAGGTTTCCATGGTATGCCCGAACCGCCTGAACCGGACCCCAAAGATGTGGTGGCAAGGTCTTTTCCTGCACAGTTGATGGATTATGTTTACACCATACAAACTCCTGAGCAATTCTGGATTGAATATGCCCTCTACCTTAGGGTGGTGGGTTATGCTGGGGGTCTAAGATATCTGGGTATGATTGAGTACCCATGTCTTTTTTGGCCTTCTAGCCGTTTGCGTCCAAATTCTGTTCGCCGACCGACTCTTGCTCTGGCTGGTCCCGCTGGTCCGCGTTCCCCGGTGCGTGTCTTTGGTCCGAGCGTGACCGATCTCAGGCATTGCGGGACTCTTGAAGATCATGACCACCGCCTCTTGGGCCTGAAGAGGGATCGCATCATGTCGACCAATCCCTCGTTGAAACTGAAAGGGATCGCATGTCTATTGGCCCAAAAATGGGCTTCGGGTCTGGGGCTTGGGGTCTGGGGCGCAATCCCTATAGTTTTCAAGGACCGGGAGGTTGGGGAACTCACGCAGCGTCTGAACGGATGGAGTGGGCCCCTGAAATCAGCAGCTCTTCGGCTTTTAGCTTCGGATTCAACGATGTATTCCTCCTTCCAAACCAAAGATCTTGGGGGCAGGGCCTAAGCCACGTGGCCTGCTGCTGCGTCTGGGTGTTTTCTGTCCTTGGTGACACATAGCAGGTGCACTTCAGATTTAGACTTGTGGGCAGATGACAAAATGCGCCTGCCGCGTTTTTTGTTTAAGCGTTGCGCACCCAGTCCACGCAAATCACCCAGTCCACGCTCCAGTTCACCGACCCTGGGCGCCGGTCCCACCAAAAACCTGCACCAGCACCCGGCACCCGACTCGAATCCGGTGCACTCCGGTGCCCAGAAAACACGATCGGTTAGGGCTCCAAAACAGCCGAACCTTACGGAGGGTCCTGGTAGAAATTGGTTGGACACCCCCCCATTTCACCTCCAGGATTCCAACTCCGGCCCCTCCCTTTTTTCACCCGAGCAGGGGGCTCCAGCCGATCCGATCCGATCTGCGCCGTCGGCAGCTGATCCCCTTCGTCTCTTTGCACTAGCGCCGACTAGCGCTGTGAAGCGAGCGAAGCTCGGCCACTGCAGGGGAAGAAGAAGGCGAAGCTCTCGGGTTTGGAGGAGGATGAGATGGGCACCGCCAATACTGCCATAGGACCCTGACAACACCGATTCCTCTCGCGTCCGAAAAAGAAAAGATGTTGGAAGAAACGACCTCGAGAAAGCCGACGGGTCTGTGGTTGAGTAGGGGATTCGAACTACCAGTACCCTGCAAATCCAGTCAACTATTCTTAGTCTGTTTGACACCAAAAGGAAGTTCCTTTACTTCGGTGGTGCTCGATTTGCTCCGGGATCTTCTACCGGTTGGTTTGGTCTTCGGAGTCTTCGGAAAGGCAGGGCCCTGCGAACCGACAGTGCTCCGGTGGACCTGACCTTTGCCCGAAAAGGGCTTTCCCTCGGTGATCTCGGTCTCACGAAGGTGGCGCTGAGAAACACCGGGCGACTCCACTCAGAGCACCCCGGTGCTGAAGATCCAGTGAACGACGATCCAGTCGAACACGTGGTGCTGTCTCGACCATGATTCGAAGAGCAGTGGTTTGACTCATATGATCAATTTCCAGTATCTCATGAGGTCCAACTGACCAGTGTAGGAATATTATATATATAAGTGTGTGTAAGAATAAGAACTGCATGTTCTAACATGGCCCTGATCCTCCGGATCTGGGCTTGTCCCGATCTGGGCATGTTTTTGCTGGACCGGATTCCGTGTCTCACGCAGACCGGAGTCAACTCACACGAAGGTGTCACGCAGATCGGTCTCCAGGATTTACGCCAGATGGAAAGCTTTGGGCCTTGAACGAGAGCAGCGCGCCCTTCCGCTTCACCCTCGATGAGGCGCGGGTCGTGGTGAGGGTGGCATCGGACGGATTCGGACCTATAGCCCCCCCCAGGCACGCGGTGGTGAGACGACCAGGCCGGTTGGGAGAAACCGGCCCCAAAAACCCAGGGAGAAAACACATCGTGGTCCTGGGAGACCATCAGATCAGGCACGATGAGACTGGCACATTTGTACATGGGTGTGTGAATAAGGAGACCTCCCAGTTCGACCCCCTGGACATACACACCCACATTGAGGTGCTTTGAGGGAGTCAAGGTGGGCTAGGCATGGATGCTGGTCACACGGAGTGTTTGGGTCATGCTTTGCTGAAAAGCTGGACGTGCCATCAACGAAAACCACCAGCCAAGCATCTGAAGCATGCATGGGGCTTTGAACATGTGCAGTCTTGCATGAATCTAAATGGATGATTCATGATCCCACCCTTAAAGAAGCATCGAATCCTGGCTGCTCAAGATACCTCATACGGGGTTCAGACGGTTTCAGATGTCAAAGTTGCCCTGCTTAGAGGCCGGCCAGATTCTTGCAACATCATGGGAAGACTTACATGTGCTTTTCTTTCAGCGCGCTTACCTTTCTGGCTTTATATTGCACTTTCTAGACGCTCAGAAGCGCCCATGCGCGTGACCCCCAGCCAAGGAACCACCACTTTCCAACAGGGGTTCGGTCACCACACCGGTGCATTGGCCCTTTCCGACAGTGCGACTTTGTCTTGAAATAGGTTGCAGGAGAGGTTGAGAGACCTGAACTAGGACCCTGCAGTGGTACATATGGGATGGGCGACAAGACGGGCTGTTCCTCTCTTGTTTTGAATCCAGCCATGCACGACACCGAACGAACCACCGAGCGAACACCACGAGCTGCAAGTGGACACCGAGCTGCCAGAGTCCCGGTCGGTCGGTCCACCGGAGCCGGACCTGCGCGAAAGCTCGCTGGCTTCAAAACGGCCGGATCGTACTTGTGCTGCAAGGTATTGCTTGGTTTTGTTTGACGCTGGTTCACTCAAATATGAAGAATCCTCAACTTGTATCCTGGTTGAAATCCGCTCTTCTTTCGTGTGTGCCTTGCTTTCCTCAGATTCACCCCCCATGCCTTCCTTTTCGAATTCCCCAAATGCTCCGTTCACAGGCCGACTGCTCCCTCCAAATATCGTTCTCTTGCGGTCCGGAAACCCCTGGACTCGAACACCGAATCCACCCCCGGAGATCATTCACTCCTTCGGCTCCGGACGTGCGGAGCGCGGCGGATCGCCATGCGCCGGTCAGGCGGGTGTTCCGCACTCCGTCGGCTTTGACCACCTGCAGGGGACCTTGAAGGAGTCCATCTCCGTGGCTCGGCCGAGCGCGGTGTTTGGGTGTGTCCGACAGGTTCGGATTCAGAGCACATGTCCTTTGATTTAGTCAATTTAGTCTTCTTATTGTTATGTTTCCTTTTCCTTTGGGTCCTTTATCTGATTTCTTGCTCAAGCCTAGCAGTAAAGGAGTTTTCTGAGAAACCCACGGATCTGCTCAACTCACCAGGGCCCACCAGCTTTCAGCCAAGCCGCATGAGAAACAAAGAGAAACAAAGCCCCCGAAGATGCGGCTGGGTGTCAAACCAACCAGTCCTCCCAGCCTGCCAAATGGGTCCAAGACGACGGTTCTTCGACTGGTGGACCGGCGTCGCGTCAACCTCGGGTCCACATCTGCCCGATTGGAAACAGTGTGAACTCCCCTGCACCTGGTTGTTAGGAAGTCCCCCTTCACCTTCGAGGAGAAGGTTTCAAAAACTGGATGGCCTGGGTTTTGTAGTCTTCAAGTCCTTGGTTTTCCCGAATACTTGCTTGGGATTTAGACTATAGATTCACGGTTGCGATCTGTAGGGGATCGTACCGATGGAATTTGGGGGATTTTCGTTTTGTTTCCCCCAGACGCTCATGGACCCTCCTAAGGAGGAGTACGGACCGAGGAGTCTTCACTCGTGAATGTCTGGCACCGGATTCGAGTGAATGGGGCACAGAGGTCGGACATCAAACCCGCCGGGGTCTTTGGGGCCAATCAGGCACATCCGAAGTTCGATCAGCGCACTGGCGAGATCCTCTTTCATGGGCGGAAGCTGCCGACGATGCTTGGCGCGTTGATGGTGGCCTTGGCGCGTGCTTGTCCCGATGTGGACACACAAACACCCACGTCCCACCCACCCAAGTCAGAGCAAGGGTTCGATCCCAAGAACGATGCGAAGATGATCGAAGTGTTGGCCAAGTGGCCCAACCCAGAGCATCCATGTTTGGAAGAGTTGCGATCCCATGGATGGGTCATTCGTCAGGTCTATTCCAGTCCCATGGATGATCTGGCCCAGTTTGGGGGGGTTCAATACAGAACAGACGAGTTCAAACAGAACAGACAAGCCTCATGATGTGTCCAGGTTGGGCCCTAAAAGAAGAATGCCGTGCTTGCAACGTTTCACGGCCCAAAACGGCAGTTCGAGTCATGTCACGTCATGTCACGGCAGAAATGACACTGCAATGACTGACTTTTGGGGGTGACATTCCAAAGTGGCCACTGAAATGGTTTGTCCCCTTGTTTGCTTTCTGAAGTCATTTCACAATTCCCTCCAACACCCAGTCTCCACCAGTTTGGCGCCATCGGGTGCTCAGAAAAGGCCAGAGCTTGCAAGAGTAGGTGGTTCCCTGCCGTTCTTTTTCTGACAACACCTCCTATTCTGGTTGATGGTTTAATTTGACTATGTTGAATCTTTACTTGGGATGATTGATTTCCAATGACATATATACGCGTGACGTCATTCACACTTGTCAGGACTCAAGGAGGACAGAACCACTCCGCAGACTTACTCTGCATGTAGGGTTCATTCTGAGAATTCCAAGGGGCCATGAGGCCCTGAGCCATAGATTGGATTGTAGAGTCCAACGGTCAAATCTTTTCTCCAAAGTCCGATGACGACCCTTTTCCCGTGGGGCGATCGTCGCACTCACGAGGTGGACCGGAAGTCTTCCCATCCAGGTCACCAGGTCGACCGGAAGACACGGCCGTTGTTTTTCCCTCCAGGGTGTCCCTTCGGTCGACCGAGGAGCTTCTATGCGGGGAGAATCGCGGAGGGCCGCCGGGAGTGAAACATGTCGGTCGAACGACCCTTTCATGGAGAGGTCGAGACATGGAAGTGCAACGGTTCTCTATGGTTTTTGTGTGTTTTTTCCCAAACAGTGTGGATTTCTCCACTTCTGGGAGTCTGATGCAGACTGTATCAACATGTAAATCCCGAGAGTCCAGTCAACCATAGATAGTGTGAGTTTTTGACTGTTAGCTTTGAAGACCATGTTTGTGCTTTTGCCACCCGGCTGCACGATTCCTCCACCACATGTCGGTCCAAGCGGGCCCCTTGAGTTTGTTTCCCTTCGATCCTGACGGATCGTGACACCCCATGGCAAAGACCGAAGCTCGGTCATAGAGGAAAAGCCGGTGAGCCACCGCTTCGTTTCGTTTGCAGCTTGAGCGCACTCCACTTCGCGAGTTGGTAGTGCGGAGCTCGTGTCCAGGTCATTCCATGCCGCTTCCGTCGATGTCCTTTCCGTGGCGGCATGGAGGAGCCCAAAACGCTGAGCACTTAGGTGAGGATGCCGACTACCCCCACCTGTTCGAGAATGACACTGAAGCTGGAGAGTTTGATGATATGGATTTGTTTGCAGGCGACTCCCTCCATGAGTGGTACGTCTCCAATGACGTCTCAAGCCCTCCTGCACCTGTCCCGAACAGTGGACCGGCAACTTCTTCTTCACCTTCACCCTGGCAATGCTTGGTGTGCGGCTACCACGCACACACTTGGAACGTTGACCGTGAGACCTGGGTATGTGACCGCTGCCATGCAAGCAACTTTCATGATTTGAGACAGCCTACACGACGTGAGACCCCCACCGGAACTTGGGTCTATGTTCCTCATGGACAGCCTGAGGTCTACGGCGAGGGCAACAGCAATAGGCTTCGTCGACGTCGACAACGACGCTCTCGACGGCTAAGGCACGGTCCCCCAGATGACCCTCCGGATGACGATTATGGACAAGAAGAACAAGCAGAGTCAGAGGTTCTCACACATGATCCTGTTGTTGAGGTCTCAACTCACCTCCCTACGCCACCAAGGACAGCTTCCATGCCACCACGTCATGTTGGACCACACCGACGTGCAGCACAGTCCCCAAGAGGCCAAGACGCCCCTGAACAAGCACCACCAGTTTCTCAAGCTGCTGCAACAGACCCAGTTGAGAGGCTTGCAAATGTCTTAACAGCAGCTTTGACAGGAAACAAGAAACATGGCAGTTCATCTTCGACGGACTCCTGGATCAGTGCCAAGGGTCCGCAACCTGGTGTGAAGTTTCGAGGCGGTGCCGCACCTGCGCCACCGAGTTGGTCATATGCCCCAAACGACATCAGGGCATATGAGCGCTATGAGCGCAAGGTCCGCATGTGGCAACTTCAAGCACGCCACCACATGACCGACAAGGAGGTTGGCATTGCATTGTTCAACTCCCTTCGTGGCGAAGCGGAACTTGAGCTGGAGTTCACTCCCATGGAGGAGATATATTGTAAAGAAGGTGTCGACAACATCCTGGCCCAGCTTAAGCAGTCGTTCCAACAAAGGACAGTCTACGTGAAGAGGCAATACCTTCATGAATATGAAGTTGTAGGGCGCTGGCCAGGTGAGAGCATGCGGTCCTTCACGAATCGCTACAAGCGAATCGAAAAGAGCCTCCTCGCGATCGGTGTGAACGTCGCTTTGACGTATGACTCGGAATCAAGAGGGTCAAGACTGCTGGACCGCTCCCGCTTGAGCTTGGAACAACAACGGCTCGTCCTTGTCGGCACTGCCCAATCGTTGGACTTCGAACAGGTTCGATCGGCATTGATGCTACAATATCCCGAGCACAAACCACCACCAGCAGTTTCCGGCCGAGGAGAGACCACTGCACCCTTTCAGGCTAAGGCCAATGGGAAGGGCTTCAACAACACTACATCGTCGACCCCATCTTCAGGTCACCAGCATGGAGGCAAAGGCAAGGGTTTCCACAAGGGCCCAAGGAAGGTGTTTCAGACTGAGGCACCCGATGCTGAGGCAGCTGATGAAGCCGCCGCCGATGAAGACTTGGCCCCAATCGATGAAGGTGATGAGATGGCTGAACCTCCGGAAGATGCAGCACCAGATGATGCTGGCAGCAACGATCAAGCAGAGCTTGAGGAGGCCGATGACTTCAACGAGCTGGCCAATGTCTTGACAGTCACAGCTCGCAAATTGGCCACTATGACACAAGGCCGCAAGTTTTCCGGTCAGCCACGACGCTCACTGGCTGAACGGAAGCGCAACAGTGTGCGCGCTGCATGTGGAGAGAAAGGCCATTGGGCCGGTGACAGTGAATGCACAGCAGCTCCATCGACGGCATCAGCCACTTCGAATCCCAAAGGGAAAGGCAAAGGCTCAAAGAGCCGCGATGGCAACAGCTCGAGTGACTCGAAAAAGGTCATGACTGTGTACCACCACACCGGTTTCGACACGTCCGTGGAGTACATCCCCTCGGAAGACCCACCAGAACCTCACTTCGCTATGATGGTTTGTTCACTTCCTCCACATCTCTGTTTCACTACTTCATCTACTACCACGGTTGGACATATGATCATAGATACAGCCTGCCAGAGGTCATGTTGCGGTTCCAAGTGGTTTGCAGCACACACCAGTCACCTTCTCCAGTTCCGGTTGAAGATACATCAAGAACCAAGTCGAGAACGTTTTCAGTTCGGCTCAGGCTCTCCACGAACATCCACTACAAAGGCATGGATCCCAGCTGCGATCAATCAGCAGTGTTTGATCCTCGGAGCCAATGTGTTGAACGATGTTGACATCCCCTACCTTTGCAGCCTGTCCCTTCTCAACCAGCTGGGCACTGTGATCGATCTGACTCAAGGCCTGGCCACCTTCACCGCTCTTCAGACCAGCGTGCCACTCCACAGGCTTGGAGGGCATTTGGCGGTGAGCATTTGTGATTTTCCCATGAACCCCAACAGACTTGCAGTGTGGGGCAAACTGTTTGAGAAGGGCTTTGACAATCCTGAAGTTGCAACAGTCATGCAATTGAGAACAGCGCCACATGATGACAGTTGTTTTTTGGATTCACTGGCTCGAGATTTGTCGGCTTCCACGCTCGCTGAACCTCTTCCTCATGGAAGGCACGGTCGAGATCTACAACCAGACTGTGAGGCAGCGATGGAAGCACCTTTGCCGACGACTCTATCACCAGGCGAGGCAGGCCGTGGTGCTGCTGCACCGGGCACACCGCCTGGGAGTCATGAAGACCGACGACTACAAGTTCATCATGGACGACAAGACCAACGCGACGGACGACGTCAAGGAGAAGGGCACGAAGGGCCGGAAGAGTTCCAAGGGCAAGTCAAGCCCCATGACAGCTGCACGCACAAAGGCAGCTCCAAAGACAGCTCCGGCATCATCCAGCAGTGCCACAGAGGTGTACCAGAGCCAGGTGCGGACGGAATGCCCCCATCCAGCATTCAAGCGCCACGGCAATCGCCACGGCTCGTTCGCGACTTGCACTCAATGCATGGGACGATGGCGATGGGACGGCACCGGTTGGAGGCAGCATGGGTCATCCTCCAAATTGTCACTGCCTCAACCCTCTTTCTTGACGGTGGCAGATGGTTCGATCAAGCCGCCGGGCTACCAAAGGGGAGGTGTACCCTCATTTGGCCGCTCCAGGATTCCCAGAGCATCTGCTTCCACCACCTTTGCCGATGAAGCCAATCCAGGAAGCAGCGACAGTCTCATCCCAGATGCGCCAGACACCATTGCGCACTCAGGGATCCATCGCGGCAACGACTCAACCCAGGCATTGAGACAGAACAAGACTGGTACAACCAGATCCAGGCCACCCTCGATGACATCATCGGCCGCCGGCCACGCCAAGACAGTGGATCAGATGGCCGACATGGACCAGGAGCTCGATTTCGAGGAGCTGGAGGAAGTGCAGAGCATCTACAGCTGGCCCCCGGACGACGAAAGCGACTGATTGGCGACGTCAAGAAGATCTCCAGTCTTTGGGCCAGTGAAGTGATGGTGATCGGTTCCCTTCCGCCTGAACGTGACAAGCCCTTCATCACCGACATCCTTGAGCTCTTTGCCGGATCCGCCAAGGCCACAAGACTGGCCAAGCAATACCAGTTGAACGCCTTGGAGCCCTTTGAGAAGAATGATGGCAAGGACCTCAAAGATCGGGCTACTCAACAGTTGGTGGAGTATGCCATCAACAAGTTCAAACCTCTCCTCCTTCTCGCAGGTTTTCCATGCACGAGTTCAGCATCATGAATGAAAATGCCAACTACAAGGATCGACTATGGGTGCTGGAACTTCGACGTGAAGCCCAACGAGAAGTTGAATGGACCTGCAAGCAGTGTGAGAAACAGGTTCGAGCTGGACGATTCTTCATGCTCGAGAACCCGGAAAGAAGCAGGTTCTGGGAGGAGGATGCCGTTCGCAGACTTGCGGAATTGCCAGGAGTCGAGACTGTTTTGACCGATGGCGGCGCCTTCGGAGCTGTGGACCCATCATCAAGACCCACAAGTTCATGCTCAACAGGCTCAAGCCTTACGAAGACGCCTCTCCACTCAGGAACGACAAGTCTGCCGACCACTTGAAGGAGTTCATGTCACCGACTCACAGGTGTACCCAGATGAGCTTGTTCGCACCATCCTCAGGACTCTGCGCAAGTTGGCACAAAAGTGGAGCCCACAACGTTTCGAACCAGTTCAACAAGTCCTCTTCGCACAACCTGTTGAGGACCATGACCGCTGGCGCCAGATTCTGAACGACGTCAGGAACATGTTCACTGGTGGCACCGTCAAGTCTCTGACACTCCAGCCTGGGCAAGAGATCTACAAGAGGGTGCAAGAGCTCGTTCCTTTTGAGATCACTCGTGTCCAGGTGGCTTCAATGCCCACCACACGACGACTACCTGCAGATGTGCCGTTCACTCACCGCGGCGCAGCACTTCTACACCATGATGAGTCCCTGACCCTGGAGAGCGAAGATCTCGGACTGATTCGCT